AAAAAAAAAAAAAGGAAAAGAAAAAGAAAGGAGAGAGTCAAAGAATCTGGATCACCACCCCTGGATCCAGCGCTGTCTCAGGTCCAGTAATCTTGGGTGGTGGGTGCACACCCAGCAAAGTTTCTGTTGCCTTTTAAGTTGATTGTATCAGCTGATTTGCATACTAGATGAGGAGGGGCGGGTATTGCACCAGCTCATTTCCATGAGAGAGGAGGAGAAGGCGGAGCAGGGGTTCTGTGTGTGCGCTGAGGGGCAATGGGGTACATGAACCCTTTTGCCCAGTTGAGTCGGTGGTCGCAATCTCCCCCCACCACCTTGACATTCCCCTCAGGTTTTGTTCCTTGGGCAGTTATAGCTCCATCTGGTCTTGGTGGTTTATCTCTCTTCCCACTCTTTTAGCTCTTCCTCAAGGCTAGAGTCGTAATTTAAGGTGCAGGCCTTACCCTGAACATTTGGTTTTACTCAGTCTACGTCTCCTTCCTTCGAGGTTTATCTGGGGAATGTGGCTGTACAGCTGCAGGGGAGCGGAGCCGTGCACCCTTCGATACCCCCTGCGCTTCCCCGGGCAGATAATTCATCCCTTAGACTGACCACAAAGGCCACGACTCGTCCTTGCTGTTTTCTGTGTCGGTCAATGTTTGAGACGTGAACTCCTTCAGTTCCCCGCATTGGTGAAACCAGACAACAGCCCCGCTGCCTCGCTGCTCGTGGCGTGTTTCAGTGGCTGCACCTCCACCTTTGAATCTGGGTTAAGCAAAGTATCAGTGAAGTTGAAAACTGGCTGCAAGTAACTTGGTGGCAATTTTGCCTGAAACCCAAGCGATTGCTTTGAATTCTGGAGTTTTTACACACCCTGCGCAGACCTGTCTCCCCAGCAGAGCTTGCCTATTGTTACAGTCTACAGCAAGCACTTACTTTTAGTTGGCAGCTGTAGAATGCCTGCCCACATTCTGGTTTGCAATATTGAATTTGTAATCGACGGTTTTCTAAAGATTGAGTTTTTCTCTTGGGATTAAATTGAGGGAAGAATTTCCTGTTCATGGATGTTTTCAAGCTTATTGTCCTACAGCTTTTAGCTGTGCTGACCTCAAGAACCCCCTTCCTTCTGAAAAATGTAACATGTTTTTTTCTCAACTGCACACCGCTTCAAGCTGATAGTGAACCCAACACAACCAGCCAGGTTTCTTTTTTGTATAACAGCTTCTCAATTTGTAGCACATTTCCTTTTCTTTGAATGCATGCCTTTACATCTATAAATACTGGATAGCCTTCCTTGCAAGTATTCCAGTGCTCTAATAGTTCTGCATCACTTTTTTTTAATCTTCTGTGCTTCCTGTACCCCCAGGCTGTTATCAACAGATCTTCTTATTTTAGTACTAGTTTTATGAAATCCTCTGGAAGTTCAGTAGCAGATGTTGGTAGTGCAGAGGCTATGTCTGTATAGCTCAGTAGGCCGCACAATAAAATATAGGAAACGCCACAAAACTGGCATTGCTTAAAAAAAGCCCAAAGGAATGGCTGTAAGATCAAGCACAGGTTAATTATGATTATAATAAGAGCCAAATTGCACTCTTTTAGGCAGAAACCTTTCATTTCAGTTTTGGCTCGTGCTGTGTTTTCTGCAGAGCTGCTAGGTTTTTCTGCATTTCTAGTTTGTGATATGCAAAAAAAGCAAGTTCAATTGCATTTTGGAAGGCTCTTGACAGTTTAAGCACTGGATACTTCTTCACTTCTCAATTTAGCTTTCTAATGCTTTTTGTCTTTCTGGTTTAGATTTTATCATGGCTTCTTCACCTTCAAGATGATTAAACCACCAGGGAAACAGACAAAATTAACCATACCTTTATTAACAGAAAGCAGAAGAAACAGCTTCTAACTAGGAGCAGTGTGTTCAATTAAGGCTGAAAGAGAAGAATAAACACAGAACTTTGTGACTTGCTGGTTACTGATTTTTATTTTTATTTGTAGGTATATGAAAGGTCGTTTAACCTGTGATCAGGTTAATGCAGTTGTTAAAGGTATAAACAAGGCTGTGGCAGACAAGTACAAGATCCTGCATCAGCCTCTGAGATCTTTGAAAGCAGCAGCGAGGAAACTCTACAACAGGTTCCTGGAGGACGAAACTGCAGAATCAAAAGGTATTTTTAATTTTTTCTTTCCTTTGTTAGTACTGAACTCGTAGCACTTGGATATGGCAGCACAAGTATAAAAATCCTGGACAAAATATTGAATGACTAATGACAGCATGTGTTTTTCATGTTGTGGTGTAACTTACAGCCTCTTATTCTCAGAAAATAGTCCATCGAGGCACTCTGCTAGTTGCTGGAATGGTCTAACCTGTGGGAGTCTTTAAAACCATTAGTCCTGAAAAATTGTAGAAAACCTGCTATTGCTTGTTCTCAGACAGAGAGGAGGGGGAGGGAAAAAAAAAAATAAAAATCTATAGACTTAGCAGGGCTTTCCCTCCCTTCCCAGCACAGGGTGCCACAGTCTAAATCAAAATTCGACTTGAAAAACTCCCCTCTGCTATGTGAGACATACAGGGCTTTAACAGTCTGGAGTGATGAAAGGTCTGGTTCTCCCTTGATGTAAGGGAAGGAGAATAGAAATGAGATTCATCTCCGGATCAAATTCTAGGCCATAAGGAAAATAAATGTCTTATTACTACCCAGAACTGGGTAGTCAGTATAAAACCCCATCACCTCGTCCGGATAAAGACATATAGAGTAGTAACCAGGGTTATGGTTGTGACTGAAGAGTTTTTCCCATAACTGATTTGGTTACTTTTTATATTATTCACTGAAAACATGACTTTTATGGTGTGTTGTAGCAAACAAAAATTGAGGGCACAAAGATTTAATTTGGAATCACTGCAAGTTCTGGAAGCTCCTAGTTTGATAACTAAACTGTATAAACTGTGTTTTCAGTTTTAAAGCTAGAATGAACTATTAAAAATTTATTCTACAGTTGAGAAATCTGACTAATCAGCCATTGCAGAGCCAGGGCTGTCTGATTAACCGTAATTTTCTTCCTCCTAAAAGCAGAGAGGGAGTGAAAATGCACCAAAATGTCCGTGTCCTAATTTAAAAGCAAGTTGTACTTGCAGGTTAGTTCTCCCAAAGATATTTGACACATAAATCTCTAATATTGAAACCTCCTTTTGGACATTCCTGTGGAGAACAAGTATGGAATTATTCCTGGAGGGGCGTACTGCACGTATCAAGCTTGGTGATGTCCTTGGAATGCCCTCGTGTTTCCAAGTTCAGGGATAAAGCGTGGAGCAAACTCTCTCCTGTCTCAGAGCAAGCTCTTTTTCTGGCAACACCTTGGCACCTGCCTCTGAATTTTTTTTATTTTTTTTTTTCCCTGGACAGGATGCGAGACTATTCTGCCTTAAGCACATTCCCTGGGTACTTGTAGTCTGTCAGAAAGTGACTCTACTTTTTCTTCCTTCCTTTTGGATTTGTCACAGATCAAGACGCTCTCAATATTTAAGTTGTGGTGACAACGTCACTAACTTCTAGATGCTAAATGCCCTCTTGTGTAGGGAAGGAATTCTGATATGATGGACATGCCTGGCAATTTATTTGGAGACCTATAGGATAAGCAAGTTGTAAAGGACTTTAATGAACAGGTGTACAGCTAGAGTGCTTCACGGGACTGACTGCTGATTTGGGCTTGGATAGTGTTTTTTTTCTAGACAAGTTCACAGAATCATCTGGGCTGGAAAAGCCCTTGAAGTTCCTCCATTCCAACCTTGAACCTCAGCCTGACCGTTCCCAACTCCCCCAGATCCCTCAGCGCTGGCTTAACCTGGAAGTTCTGCTTCAGTCTAACAACAGCTCACATTAATCTGGGATTTCTTAAAATCCCTGCTTCATCGCTTTTAACTCACAGTATTTTTTTTGATTTAACTGTGTGCTGGGTTTGTGTGGAGGGTTTTTGGTAGCAGGGGAGGGGGCTACAGCAGTGGCCCCTGTGAGAATCTTCTGGAAGCTTCCCCGGCTCCAAATCGGACCCACCTCTGGCCAAGGCCGAGCCAATTAGTGATGGTGGCTGCACCTCTGCAATAACGTATGTAAAAAGGGGAACCTGGGAGAGATTGGGAGGACTTTGAGGGGGAGTTAGAGGAAGGACGCCTCTGCCAACACCGAGGTCGGTGGGAGGAAGGAGGAGGAAGAGGGGGTGATGTACCGGAGCACGGAGCCCCCCTGTATCCCGTGGTGAGAGGGCAGGGCCCCCCATCACCCATGGGGGTCCCTGGAGGAGCAGAGATTCTCCTGCGGCCTGTGGGGGACCCCCGGGACTCTGTGGGGAGAAGCAGCCCCCGCTGTTGTAGGTCGGTGCTGGGAGGTGCAACCCGTGGGGGTGACCCACGGCGGAGCATCTCGGGAAGAATCATCCCGTGGGGAGGGCTCGGGCGGAGAGAGTTTGTGGGGGACTGTCTGCTGGGAGAGGGACGTGAGGTGGAGCAGGGGGAGGAATGCAGGAGAGTGATTCCCCCCAGCCTTGGAGGAAGGAGCAGCAGGACTGACTGCACCCCCCGTCCCCTGCACCACTGGGAGAGGAGGAGGTCGAGCTATTGGGAACAAAACTGAGCCTGGGAAGAAGGGAGGGGTGGGGGGAGGTGGTTTTAAGTTGTTGTAACTCTTCTCACTGTCCCATTCTGTCTGCCAAGTGTCATTATCATTAGTGCTTTGAATTAG